TGTAGTTACTGTGTATAGATATTGTGTATATATAAAAAATACAAAGCCAAAATATTTACATGTATATTTATATAAATTTTGAATTACATCTAATATTTAAATAAAAATAAACATTTTCCCACATACATATATATATATATATATATATATATATATATATATATATATATATATATAAATATATAATTTTTTTTTTTCAGACATGCTTTCAGTTTCTCTGTCTCACTTGCGGCGAGTTTAGGCGAAGGAATGTTTATTAAGTAAAACTGGCCTCAGACGGTTTAGTTTAGTCTGCGTCAAACCTGCAGGAAAATATTAGGCTTTGCTAAAAGACAGGTTATTTTACCAACGATTAGGGTCAATAGTGGTAGCCTTGTACAGATATTAAAGAAAAATCCTAATATTAAAAACGGAAACAAGCTGGACCACAACAGATCAGACCAATGTCATAACCAATGCTCAAATAATGTAGCCTACAGTTTATAGCAAGCATCATGTTTTTAGTTAGATTGTGCCATCTATCATGTACAGTAGGCTTATAGGTCTGTTATTTTAACTAAAAAAGATATATTTTTTGAGCACCAGAACTATAGAAACTGTATTATGTAAAAAAAAAAAAAAAAAACGTAACAGTATCGGAATCGGATCTGTATCGATCGATACTCAGATTTTTGGTATTGCGATCAGATCGGTTCCAAAAAATGGTATCGGTGCACCCCTAATCCTATCATATATTTATTATAAAAATATAAGGTAACACTTTATAATAACTACACTGAATAATCAGACATATAAATGTTGATTTCAATAGTTTATTAATCATTTACTAACTCATTCTGAATTACCCTAAAAACCCTCAACTACTCTTAAATACAAATGGTTTGTAAATAAGGTGAAATTTAATTTATATAAATTTTAAATAAATCATTAACTAAGTATGGAAGTACAATTATTAAGCACATTTAAAATAGGTTCGTAAGTCAAGAATAGAGCATTTGTAGCTGCAGTTATAAACTGCTTACTAACCCTTAATGTAGACTTAATGCTTAACAGATAATGAATTCACTATTTGCTAATGCTTAATAAATGATTTAGAGTGTGTAGTTATTATAAAGTGTTACCAAATAGGATTGTAAATGACAATGTTTTTATTTTAAATTTGATTTGCGATAAATTTCACCAGCAATTTACATAATAAAACAAAACATTATTATACATTACAAGATGTAAATCTCAAAAAACTGGAACATTTTCAGAGGTCTCATCATTTAAAAACAAATGTAAGAGATAAATATCTGAAAGTACAATTTTAAAATTATAATTTAATTGAAATATGCCATTGTAAAAATGCCATTAAATGAACAAAGCACCAAAACATTGAAATCTGCTTGTTAAGTCATGACTGTTTCCATGTCAAAGCCGCTACTCATTTGAATTGAGAAAATATTAGTTTATTGCCATATTTTAGTCATATAAACACACATTAAAATGAATTTTGATAAAATCATGGTGTACACAACAGTCTCTGGACTTGCTGCATCACAAACACCAATAATTTAACAACTTATAAAAAATGAATCACATTCTGGCCATCTGATATTAAACATGAATACATATATTGCGGTCATGATTTTCGAAATATTACAGCGCTTTGTTTATTATTACCATTTGTTGAGTCTCTCTATACATTTTGATTTTTGATATTATTACTGATGATGCAAAATGCTGAAATACAAGATACCACAGTCTGGAGTTTCATGGTAATGTCCAGCAGTAAAAACAAGATCAGAAAAATCCAGTACGACAGATTTGAGTCAGGATCTTGGCTCCTGCATCCTTATTGGCTTAAGGCAGAATAAGATCTAAGGAGGTGGGCGGGGCTACAGCATCTGTTTTCCCAAGAGACGTTGACATTCATCCATCCATCAATCCACTAATGAGTGCTAATCAATACAACCCTGCAATACAACCCCCCTCCTAGGAAACATTCAATTAAACGAATTATTGTAGGCACTGCAGCTGTAAGCCTGTCCCTATAGAAGGATCTGGTCTACAAAAGCAGGACAATCCCTGACAGGTAATTATTAACCCTGTAATGCCTGCTGTATCATCTTTGATGATCAATTGGCATCTCTTAATTATCAACAGACTTACTAGATGACATGTTGCTGCCAATTTGCTTTGCTACACTCATACTTTTTAATGAACTGTATATACACTGTAAAAAATAACCATAAATTAGCAGTCTTCTGTATCTTGTGATATATATTTTTATTTTTCTCATGTATTTTTCTGCTTCTGAATTGCATTATGGAATCTTAATCTTTCTTATGGCAAGTTTTAACCATAAAACGTTGAAAAAGTGACTTTTATGAACATTTTCAATAGTTTGCAGTGCTATATTGTCTATGTTGGTGTTGTATATTACACTACAAAAAACCTTAATAATAAACTGCCAGTACATTTTCAGCTAATTTACAGTCTGATCTCGCTATATACTGTTATTTCTTATACAATATTTTATTTCAAACTACTAAAATGTCAACGAAAGTTATGCTGTGTTCACACCAGACATGGAAGAAGCGTCAAGCGCGAGTGATTTACATGTTAACTCAATGCGAATAGACTGCGGCGCAATACGCGCAATATGCGTGGCTTAACGCACGGTTCGCGTGAATCGCTTGAGTTAAAAAATCTGAACTTCATCGCACATTCACATCGAGTTAACCAATCAGGAGCTTACTCTTGTGGGGGCGTGATTGTGATGTACGCCTGTTGTTGGAGTCCCGGAGGAAATCCTCCAGCCGACACCGGCAACAGTTCATCAAACTGGGCTCGGCTCAGTCAGTAGCACCGCTGAAAGCCTCCATCATCCAGGTTAAGTTTCTGAAGAAGTTTATGAGTTCACAGAGCTGGATGCACCTCTGAAAGGATCTAGTAGACTCAGACACGGCCCTAAACGTATCGACGCTGTTTTTCAGCCTTCATAAAGCACGTAAACACTGTTGTTTTCTTAATAAAATCCATTTAGCAACAAAGCTAGAATCACCGGGCTGGCAGAAGCCCTGCCCATCACGCAAATCCTCGTCTGTTCTGAAGTGAATTTGATGGGCGAATGAAGTGGATTTGACGCTCGAATGAAGCGAGTAAACACAAATGTTCACGCGTCTGTTTACGCACAAATAACGTGTTTTATCCGCACGTTCCGCATCTGGTGTGAACCGCATTAAACAGTGGAGTTGAATTTTTTCGCCAATTTTCATTTTCATTCAACATCAAAAGTGGACAGTGCAGAGATCAACATCCCATAATGCAATTCCAACCCGGGCTCATTGTGGAAACGTAGCCCCGCGGACGTTTCTGCGGACCGCGATTTACGTCCCGGGAGGTACGTATTCGAGCGTTTTTTTGTTTTCGCGGATCCGCGAGAGGCCGCTGTGCGCGCTTTTTCGCGTCTCGGGAGCGCGCGGCGTTTGCGCCCGCGCCGTTCTCACGCGAAAAGCCGCCGGATCGGGAAAAAAAACAAAAAAAAACCAAAAAGCCCTCGTCTTCGATTTCGACCGTGTTTTTGGATCCCGCCGCGTCTAGCCCTCATTTTTCGGATTCCGTTTTTCGTCTCACCTGATTTCCGGAACCTGCTGTTCCCCGGACTCGATCCCGGTCGTCGTCCACCGCGGCCGGCTCCTCCTCCTTCTCCTCGTCCGGGGCCTCCGCTCCGCCGACGCAACGCTTAAAGCTAGGCGGACAAACTGATTGCGTCGGGAAAGCCCTCCACTCGGAGGCGAGCGCGAAGAGGAGGGGCGGAGCGGCACCACACCGCCCCGCGGCGTTCGCTCGAAAAAAACCAAACGCGGCCTTTACGTACCTCCAGCCACGTAAATCGCGGTCTCCAGAAACGTCCGCGGGGCTACGTTTCCAGAATGAGCTTGGGTTGTGCAATTCACAACCAAAATTAAACAGAAAACACAAAATATAGAAACCGTTAATGTTAATGAACAGATATTTTTTACAGTGAAGTTCATGAATAAAATCTATTAAATTATTAATCTACTATTAATCATTAACTAAACAAAAGCCACTGAGGTTTACTGAGATTACTGAGGTTTACATATATTTTTCAATCATCAATGTATCACACTGGAATTGATTTTGCTCCTACAGACCTTCATCTTACTGTCTATGTAAATTTTATAAACTGCACTAACTTGTATATTTTTGCTCAGTTTCAGATGATATTTTACTATATATTGAATGCACATTTATTTTCCTCTTGCAGTGTTTTTGTTATTTGTACAATGCACTTATTTTAACTAATTATATATAACACATTTTTATTTTACTATATGCTGGTGTACCAAATATTATACTCAACAAAAACACATCAAAAAAAGGGCTTAATGTTTTTTAATAGATCAATTCATTAAATTGTGACAGAATTACTCTAATTATAAGATGCTAAGCATCCTCAAAAATGGATTGTAATAGCAGTAGCAAAATATTGGCTTGATTGTCCGTGACTAATACTAATTAATTCATTTTCCTTCTGCTTAGTCTCTATTTCAGAGGTCACCACAGCGGAATGAACCGCTAACTAATTCAGCATATGTTTTACACAGTGGATGCCCTTCCAGCAGCAACCCAGCACTGGGAAACACCCATAAACTCTCATTCACACACACACACAAACACACACACACACACACACACACACACACACACACACACACACACACACACACACATACACACATACACTCATACACTACAGACAATTTTTATTTACCCACTTCACCCAATACAGTGCATGTGTTTGAAACCCATGCCAACACGGGGAGAACATGCAAACTTAAACAGAAATGCCAACTGACCCAGCCGGGAATTGAACTAGCGACCTTCTTGCTGTGATGCCAAAGTGCTAACCACTGAGCCACTGTGACGGCAGTATATATTATTTATTTGATTAGATTTTTATGGATGCTGAGTGCAATGATCATACTCACCAGGAAGTCTTCTTCACAGTACACTTTTCCATTAACATTATAGAAAGCCTTTCCTCGTAGCCTCCGTCCTGAAAAAACAAACACAGAGAAACTAATAAAAATGACGATATCATGTCATTAGTAGGCCTGCCGCGATATCTATATTTTGTTGAAGGATATATAGCACCAAAATATATAGCGATAAACAATATTAGTGTCAATTTAAGGCCCTTTAATGCCACTCATTATATAATGCCAGAATGACAATATAATATCATCACTGTGCAAGTGCACTCTTCCAAAGAACACATCTTATCTTATTCTTAAGAATATATAATTTAATTCTAGTCATTTTAACAGTTTAATGATGAGGCATTGGAATTAGAATGTGAAAATGCATAAATAATAATAATAAATATTAACAAAGAAGGTGCAAGGTAAAGAGTGACAGAGGCTGCGATATCTGCTACCACACACATGAGCATGGTCTCCGCTACATTCATTCTTTCGTGGCGGGGCGCCACACCAAAATTCATCCCCCCACGGCTACATTACAGCTTCTTATTTAAAATATTCGGTCGTGTTTTAAATAGCGGGTTAAAATCGCACCGAAAACGTATGAAAAAGTAAGTGAATAATAACAGCGCAAACTTTTCTGTGACTGTAGTAGTGCCGTGCGTTCTGTTTAACCCTTTAAGGCAGGGGTCACCAATCCTGGTCCTGGAGGGCTGGTGACCCTGCAGGGTTCAGCTCCAACTTGCCTCAACACACCTGCCTGGGTGTTTCAAGTATACCTATTAAGACCTTGATTAGCTGGTTCAGGTGTGTTTGATTAGGGTTGGAGCTAAAATCTGCAGGACACCTGCCCTCCAGGAACAAGTTTGATGACCCCTGCTTTAAGGTGACATGCTGACAGACTGACTTGACAGGTGAGTGATGCGTGAGGCCAGTAACCACAGCGTAGCTTTCAGTTATGATGAACTGTCTTCATAATTATACTTTATTTATAGATAAAGGTCTGTGGCTCTGCATATAATGACTTTATCTTGCTGGAGTTTATAGCCGTTTCACTTTTCTTCAGGACGCATCGATGCCGCGGTCCGCTCCGCAAGTCTAGCGGAGACATTCATAAACATTCCTAGCAAATCTGATAAATTCTGGAGACATTATCGGCACATGAACGCACTAAATCACACTTCAGTCGCCTTTATTTGAGGGCGCGCAAGAAAATCTGCACTTGAGCAGCGTATTTTTGAGGGCGCAAGAAGAACAGAGGAAATCGGCGCTCAAGCAGAGATCGACATGCTCGTAGGCTATTACATGAATGCGATCTCGACTTAATACTGCGCCCATGACAATTGTTAATGAAATAACGCCACATGTAGTGGTAGACCTGTGTAAAATGGCCAACAGAGTCTGCTGCCACAGCTGGAAAAAATCCTAGAGGAAACACTGCATGAGATTATACTACAGCAATTTGTAGTACATACTACAGTGTTTCTTTAACCATACTGACACTGACACCTTCAATAAAGATAGAAATGTCGCACAATCAGCTAAAATGTTGCTAGAACTGGTTTTTATGTATGGACGATATATATTGGATCACCAAAAATGATTGAGAGCATGTCTGAGTGTTGTGCGATAAGTCAATATATTGATTATTCTGACAGGCCTAGTCATAAGTTTCATCTTGTGTGCTTCAGGAAGAAAATCTGTGACTTCCTGCTGTGCGTTTACCAACAGCTCCCACAACAAACAAGCAATTATTTTTAATTGCCAACATCAAAAGACTGAAAGTATGAAATATGTTTTTACTCTTGTGTGTATTAAGTGAACAGCTGTTTTCATATTCACAACACAAACCACCAGGCGGCCACAGACATGTTTACTGACCATCTGATGCATCATGCACCCCAAAAAATTTATTGATTCTGACTGGATCTTTTCAAAGTCCAAGTCAAGATCAGCTTTATTGTCAATTGTTGTAAATGTACAGACATACAGAGGATTGAAATTAGGTTAATCTCACACTCTGGGTGTATACACTGTACAAAATATTGCAGCCTTAAAAGGCACCTATGATGAAAATCGTCTTTAGTAAGATATGTTTGGACATAACTGTGTGTAGTTTAGTGTGCCCACAGTCATGTTGGGGTGATATAAACACAATAAGTCTCTTTTTTTTAATTTCTTGAGGTTAAATTAGGATTTAAATCCCCCCCATTTTAAGGCCCACCACAACGTGACATATGAGTGTGGTTTTTCTGCCCATCGAATTGATCTACAGATTCGTCTCTGTAGTATCACGTATAATCATATCCACAAGACAGGACGTGCGCAAAGCAACTGGGATTAAAAGATCTGTTCCGCTCTCTGTGATCATCTGCACCTCAAGAATGAGGTTCTGCTTCTGAATGAAATCTGCTTCATTCTTGTCTGTCACTGTGCTGCTTATCTACTTAAAGGCTACAGAGATCTCTGAGGCTCTGACACACACGTGGAAATGGTGGGCGGAGAGAACCAGCTCATTTGCATTGAAGGCACAGGCGACAAAAACAGCTACAATGACTTAACAGCTCCATTTTTCCAGATTTAAAAAGGTATAATATATAATCTGATGCCTGTTTTGATCTGAAACCCTACAGGCACATTCTGGTGACACCAAAGGCTTATATTAAATCTTTAAAAAGGGCTAAAATAGGTGCTTAAAAGCGTTGATAAAGGCGGGATTTTCATTAAGAGAATCTTTGAAACCTTTTATAAAACATGGCATTGAATTATATTGATAAGATTGATCTTGAAGAAGATGAGTAACTCATTTTTTTTATATTTTCTGTATTATTTAATAACTACATTTATTTACTTTTGCTATTTATTTATTTGAAATGGTCATTTGTAGTAGGTTGTGTTGTATGGTTGTGATGATGGTGTGGTATACGAATTAGTATCATTACTTAATTTTGCATGTGTCACAATCACCAGCGATCTAATCCTTGCAAAAAAAAAAAAAATTACATAAAAATACAAATCCATCACATGTACGAACTACAACTCCCAGCATGCACCACACACACACACTGTTTCCTCATTCCATTGATTACACACACACACACACACACACACACACACACACACACACACACACACACACACACACACAAACTTTTCTAGTCATCCCAAATTGACTAAATGTATTAAGTTTAATTTTGTATAACTTAATAAAATGTGTTATATATAATTAGTTAGAATAAGTGCATTGTACAAATAACAAAAACACTGCAAGAAGAAAATAAATGTGCAATCAATACAAATAATTTGAGTAAAAATTAGGAAACAAAAATACAAAAAAAAAACACTCTATGCAAATAGCAGGTAAAGCTCAAATAAGTGAAGAGTGTAGTGCCATGAGACTTTGATTGTTAAAGTAACATAGCTGTTTTACAATGTATAATAATAATTCATGCTGTTTTCTAGAATCAGGATGCACAGGTTTATACCAGCCTGCAAAAACAAATGCAAACTGTCTAAGTGGGTGTTTCTTGGCCAGAAGACACTGCTAGTATAACTGCATAAGACTGAGACCTCTGTATCACATTCAAAAACACACACACACACACACACACACACACACACACACACACACACAACTCTCATCCTTTTCTCTCTCTGACACACACACACACAGAGTTCATAAATCAGTCTGACCCTTTTCCACGTCCCTTAATTTACAGCGTTCAAGACAGACATCTCGTTTCTTTTCACCGCCTTAAAATTTATGCACTTGCCGCATTCAAACAGCCATCGGCTCGACAGCGAAACCAACACTCGACTTAATTCAGAGTGATAAAGCACGATTCACACACAGGAACGGGGAAAGATTTTCAATTAGTGATGCAGATGCACGATTTTCACCTGACCAAAACAATCCCAAAGAGGCATAGTAAACGAAAGACGCCAGAAACAACATCAGATCATCACAGAGACGCGAGAGCAGGATTATTGGAGACCACGAGAAAATAACTAACAGATATGCAGATATTTAGTGCAATTTAGCATTTAAGGTTCGTAAAAAAGGTTTAGTATGGATCTTTTGGTTTGGTGCAAATGTGTATCAAACAAATACTGTTTTCTACACTGCCTGTATTAAAGGTGCAGTAGGTGATTGTCTTCAGAATAAAAAAAAATGCAATAAAAGCTTGATTCTGACTGGATCTTTTCAAAGTCCAAGTCAAGATCAGCTTTATTGTCAATTGTTGTAAATGTACAGACATACAGATGATTGAAATTAGGTTAATCTCACACTCTGGGTGTATACACTGTACAAAATATTGCAGCCTTAAAAGGCACCTATGATAAAAATCATATTTAGTAAGATGTTTGGACATAACTGTGTGTAGTTTAGTGTGCCCACAGTCATATTGGGGTGATATAAACACAATAAGTCTTTTTTTTAATTTCCTGAGGTTAAAATAGGATTTAAATCCCTCCCATTTTAAGGCTCACCACAACGTGACATAGGAGTGTAATTTTTCTGCCCAGCAAACTGATCTACAGATTCGTCTCTGTAGTATCACGTATAATCATAGGACTTAATTTTAAAATAAAACTGAGATGGCAAATGTAAGACGAGGATTTTTGTAGACGTGTGTGAACACAACAAACAACACCAAGATCCAAGAGATTTGTGGTGCTGACAAATGTCTGGGGAGGGCCAGAGTCTGAACACAAAAAGAGAGAGAGGGAGACAGAGAGAGGTCTGAGTAAACGGGGACATTCTTTAGGCCTGAGGTCACCGGCTGGTCCTGATGCCCCCCTCCACCAGCAGAGAAAGAGACAGAGAGAGAGAAGAAGGGGGGGAGGGAACGGCGACATTCCTTCAGCCTTTGTCAAAGACTGCGGCCACAGTCAACGACATCCACCTTCTGAAAACTGCGTATTTCATCAAAGCTTATTTGTAAGAAGGTTAATTGGTGGCAGACGTGTAGCTCTGCAAATATGGGCAACACCAAGTGTTTTTGTGCTAGTAGCTTGTTTAAGCTCTACTTTAAGGTCTGTTCACACAAAGCATTATGATTATATATATATA